AAAAAAGAAAAAAAAAAAAAAAAAAAAAAAGATTAAATGAACGTGTTATGGGAGGAGGGAGTAGATTTTTAGAAATGTCTTTCAAACAAACAAAAAAAACGACCTAAATGAGAAAATGAGATCTCCTGTCCTCTCATATTCACAACCCAGAGATTTCTGAAGGTCTCAGAGTTACTTTAAAATTTTGAAGAATTAAGGACTGCTACCTGAATTGGCCATGCATTGAAATAGAAGTTGTGTCTAATGACCAACTTTGATTTATTGGCTCCCATTTTTGTCACTCTTAGGATAGAATCAGAAATATCTAATCTCAAAATGATGGAAATATGGCTCTCTAGTCAGTGGTCAAGGAAAACTAGAATGAACTTAAAACCATCTAAGAGAATAGAGACAAATAACAAATCAGCAGTTTTATAGAACAAGGTGTCAGCATGGAATAGAGGAATGTTTGTTTTGTCTTTGCTGTGTTACATGTTAATGTGATTTTGGACCAGTCCTTTACCTTTCTTTTCGTATTGTGTAAAATGGGCTAAAAAAATGCACAAAAGTGTTCAGAAATAGTAGTTGTCAATGGACACATTTACAAACATCTCTAAACCTCAGTTTATTTGTCAAATGGAAATAACCAATTGAAAGGTTATTTAGGGTTTTAATAAGAAAATGTATGTAAAAGTGCCTTGTAAATTTTAAGTGTTAGCTAAATATTTTAATTTTACTTGCTATAATTAAAAAAAATTTTTTTTTTCCAAAAACATACTGGTAGAGCTGTTACTTATAGAGTCAAGATCTGGGGCTGGGCCCAATCTCACCTACAGGTAAATAATGTATACTTTGTTAAAGTGCTAGATTATCTGTTCCTCCACAGTAGCAAGTACAATCGGCCCTCCATATCCATGGGTTCCGTATCTGTGTATTCGACCAACTGTATATTGAAAATATTCAAGGAAAAAGAAATTTTCTCTGTATTGAACATATACAGACCTTTTTTCTTGTTATTGTTTCCTAAACAATACAACTATTTACATAGCACTTACATTGTATTAGATATTATAAGTAATCAAGAGATGATTTATGGTATTTGGGAGGATATGCATAGGTTATATACAAATAGTATGCCATTTTATATCAGGGACTTGAGCATCTGTGGAATGTGGTATCTGCAGAATGTCTTGGAACCCATCCCCTGTGGATACTGAGGGACCACTGTACTAACATTGATAGAATACTTACTGTGCATTATTTTAAATGCTTTACATGTAGAATAGGATTATAACTCTGTAATTACTGTTCACATTTTACAAAATAAGGAACTTGCCCAAGATCATACTGATAGTGAGTGATAGAGTCAGGACATGAGCCAAAGCAGTCATGAACTGAGATCTGCCACTCTTGACCTCTACACTGTACTGTATCTCTGTATTCTTAGGGATAAATAATAACCTACACAAAGTATAACTTCAGAGAACACCTACAGAGAAGGTAGGATTCAAGTATACTGTTTAATCCTGGTTCCCCACCTCCACAAAATTTCTGTGGTGTGCTCTCACTTCTTCCTGTAGGTCCTCAGTTCATATTCTTTAAGCAACTTGCCATATGATGTCATACACCTTAAATCATTTCTGGACTAAGCTAAGGTATAAATAAATAAATTCAAGCCTTATATTACCCAGTCAAATCTCAGAGCCACTTTCTCTTCAGCCAATTTCTTTCTCCTTCCTTTTATTTCTACCTTTTCTTTTTTCTTTTTCTTTTTCTTTTTTTTTATTTTTTTATTTTTTCCTTTTTGTCTTTTTTCGTGACCGGTAACGGGATGGCAACTCTCGGTGTTGTGCTCGCACCGCGCTCAACCAGTGAGTGGGAACCGGTCTCCACATGGGATCCGAACCCTCGGCGGGAGCGCAGCCGCACTCCCAAGCGCCACACTCTACCAAGTGCGCCACCGGGCTGGCCCTACCTTTTCTTTTTTAAACAAATTGATTTTCAAAAATGGTTGGCATGTGTTTACACACCTATATATAAAATCTGGTCTCAATAACTACATTTAACTATTATACAGTATAAGAAAAACTTGGAAAATCCCATCTGTTCTCTACAATGACCATGTGCTTTCTTTTATCAATAATAGAATAATATTTTATAAAAGGCACAATTGTAAAATATTATTAAACAAATATTGAGTGTTGCTAAAGAAATCTATAATTCATCTGCTCTTACATTAAAAGCTGTTTTCAAATTGCCAAACAGGTACTATTATTTATATGTTCCCTGTTCAAAAGTTAATAAATCTAGAGACAATGAGTCTCAGAAAGAGTTTTAGTTTTGATATATACAACGTGNGAAGGTAGGATTCAAGTATACTGTTTAATCCTGGTTCCCCACCTCCACAAAATTTCTGTGGCGTGCTCTCACTTCTTCCTGTAGGTCCTCAGTTCATATTCTTTAAGCAACTTGCCATATGATGTCATACACCTTAAGTCATTTCTGGACTAAGCTAAGGTATAAATAAATAAATTCAAGCCTTATATTACCCAGTCAAATCTCAGAGCCACTTTCTCTTCAGCCACTTTCTTTCTCCTTCCTTTTATTTCTACCTTTTCTTTTTTCTTTTTCTTTTTCTTTTTTTTTATTTTTTTATTTTTTCCTTTTTGTCTTTTTTCGTGACCGGTAACGGGATCGCAACCCTCGGTGTCGCGTCCGTACCGCGACCGGCAACGGGATCGCAACTCTTGGTGTTGCGCCCGCACCGCGCTCAACCAGTGAGTGGGAACCGGTCTCCACATGGGATCCGAACCCTCAGCGGGAGCGCAGCCGCACTCCCAAGCGCCACACTCTACCAAGTGCGCCACCGGGCCGGCCCTACCTTTTCTTTTTTAAACAAATTGATTTTCAAAAATGGTTGGCATGTGTTTACACACCTATATATAAAATCTGGTCTCAATAACTACATTTAACTATTATACAGTATAAGAAAAACTTGGAAAATCCCATCTGTTCTCTACAATGACCATGTGCTTTCTTTTATCAATAATAGAATAATATTTTATAAAAGGCACAATTGTAAAATATTATTAAACAAATATTGAGTGTTGCTAAAGAAATCTATAATTCATCTGCTCTTACATTAAAAGCTGTTTTCAAATTGCCAAACAGGTACTATTATTTATATGTTCCCTGTTCAAAAGTTAATAAATCTAGAGACAATGAGTCTCAGAAAGAGTTTTAGTTTTGATATATACAACTTGAATTTCTTCACGCATTTTCTGTGGATTAATTATGATCTTATATGCCTATTTTAATACACCTGTGTGCATTATACAAAGAAACATAAGCTATGGTCTTTGTTCACGAGTGATTTATGATTCCTTTGGGTTATACCCATGAAAACTTAAATAATGGAAAATTTAAGAACAACTCATAACAGCAGTGGAAGGGAGAAACTATAAAATTATATGTCTGGAAAGAATCTAGATGATCTTATCTAAAACAACGCTCTTATTTTCACCAACTAAGTAGTAGAAGCTGTCCTAAATGTGAAATAATTACTAGTTATTAATTAGTACTAAAATACCTGTGAGAAAGAAGATCACTTTAGGTTGTGGTAGTCAGGGAATGCTATGGAATATGTGGAATTTGAGCTATGTTTTAAAATAGTGAATTCCCAGTCTTTTGTTTCTTTTGTTTATATATATGGCCCAAATAGAAAATGATTATATTTTACAGCCCTGTAGAGTAAATGGAGAAGAGGAGATTAACTCCGGGGCCCTAGCTACCCTCCAAAAACCAGAGGAGTCAC